AATTCGAAAGAATCAATTGTCAAAGCTAGGTGATATGAAATTTACATTGGATATAGGAAAGGAAAATTCAAAAAGCCAAAACCATTTAGAAAGTTTAAAATGGATTTACTAACCTTATCAAGCAGATTTTTGAAATCAGAGCCTTAAACTTTAAAAATACAGTAAAGTCTTTTTCTTTGAAACAAAAAAATAAAAGAAAAAAAAGAACTACTTTCAAAAAATGGGGTCTGAAAACGCTGTTTGGCTGATGAGAAAACAGATGAACAACAGAAATGTAGGATCAAAGTAAAAGAAAAGGGAAAGGGAAAAAAATTGCTCGAATGAAATGAACACGGTCGTCAGTGTCTTGTACATTTTTGCGCCCGTTATCCCCATCGAGTAAAAGACAAAATACAGGGCACAAAGTTTGGTTTTTCCTTCAATTTTCCCGGGAACCAAACAAGAAAAACAAAGGAAGAAAAATGTTGAAATACCTCACAGATTCCGTTCACAAGGTAACCAAAGAAGAACCCAGAAGAACAAATGAGGAACTGCTTCCATTTGGATCTATCCGATAACGAAATCCCGAACAGATACCGAGCTTGCTCTTCGCTCTTCATTCTTATCCCTTATCTTCTCCGGCGATCGCCAACTCCACAATCCGGTACTCAAAAATAGTAAAAAAAAAAAACACCCAATTGACTGAAAACTTGGAAATTGAAGGTCGATCAAGAATGTATGAACATCAAATTGACCCCCAATTCAGTTGCATGTTGAGTTTGGAAAGGTGGAATAAAGAAAATCCTGGAAAAAAAGCAAAAACATTGGGTGCTGGTTTGGAGACGTTAACCAAATCAAAATACAGTTTGTGCACATGTTTGATGCTACTGCTAATTAATAGAGAAGGGGAGAGAGGGAGATATTAAATGAAAGGATGGATTTTTATGTGAAATTTTGTGAACCTTTTTTTTATTGTGGGGATTCTCTGGGATTTCCATATATGGACCCGTTTCTGAAAGGGATTGTTAACAGTTGGCGCCGTCTGATTAGTGATAATTACTGTATCACAGTTCTAGGATTTATTATTGTTATTTGAAAATGAGATAATCTTGATTTAGCCATTCTTAAACATAAGACTTCCGAGTTCAGTCATACGTTTCTTCAGTTCAGTGGACCCTGCTGTTCATGGAGTCCTGATATATGTATTTTTTATTA